ATGTGTGTCTTTAGGCACTTATTTTTGAATTCCTTTACTGAGATAGGTCCTAATCTTGAAAAGAAAAGCTTAAGTTAAAGCAATAGGACACAATTCCTAAGAATGTTCAAGCACTGGGCACACAACATGCAAGTTGCAATCTGGTCCTCCTTGCTGGGATCCCAGTTAGAACCTGGCTCCTTAGAATTCCTTTAAATTAAATTGATTCAAGACTACCACAGTTTAAATATATTTTAGTTGGATTAAGAGCTGAATTCATATATTTCCATATACTCTTCATGAGCATTCACACATAGGCATTTCTCCATCTTTCTATTGTAAAAGAAGAACCAGATGTACCACTGAGAGACCAGTCTCCACTGAATTAATCCCATTTTCCCCAAGGACAGCTCCAGAACAGGCACCATGAAGGTAACTTAGAAAGGAAAACACCAGTATCAGTCATGAAAAGAAAACCTGTGAATACGAACATAGAACTTAAAAGGTCGCAAAAGTTGAATAATGCACCAATTGAGTAAATGTTAGAGTGACACCAAATCTGCAAATGTACAGAAACAAGATGACCAAATACCAGGTAGCTCTTAAAAAAAAAAAAAAAAAAGGATTATTGCCTGAAAAAATACAAATTAAAAAAGAAAAGCCTTCTTATTATCTGTCTCAGCTAGTCCATACCAGAAACATGGAAGTGAGCCTAGACTGAACATCTATTTGTGTATACCACAAAATAAGCATTAGTAAAAACCACATAGAGAATGCCCCCAAAGTATGTGTGAAATACAATACATTAAATTGTTCCTAAAAACTGGCACTTTTTCAACAAAAAAAATTGAATGCTGTTAATTTTGTCACTGAGACTTTAATTTTTTGTTTTGCCACTTGTCAAGATAGTCAGAAACAGAATTCTTCCCTGCGAGAAAGGACAAAATAGTGTTTTAAATAGGGTACCATCTATTTAGGAAAACCAGAATGAAAGGTCTAAACATTTTGCAAACATTGACCAGCTCTATGTGTTAGTAATGGTATCTCTACAACAACTTTGAGTCAACACTTCCCTTTCATTTCAAGCATTGGAGTTCAGTATGTCTGCAAACAGGGTCATAAGTCCCTAACAGGAACTGGATCTAAATACTTTGGAACGTTAATTAATGAAAAAAATATTTTAATGGCATGCTATGAAATAATGATAAGGTAGACAAGACTACTTTTAACTAAGTATCATTAGTCTGTAAGAAAGAATTAGTGGACCTCTATAGAGGAGGTCTGAGGTCATATCTAAACAGAAAAGATCTTGATGACACCGACACCTGGAAGGTATACAGCAATAGCAAAAGCAGTACTGAGAACAGACTTATCTGGTTTACTTGAGTAAGCCAAGCCTTGAACATGTTAACTTAAACATTATGCTGCTGAGCATCATTAGACCTGATTTGAACTACTTAAAGTTTAATGCTTTATACAGAAGCAGGAAGTTAGCTACTGGGTGAATTGATTTTGCCTGAGAAAGAGAGAAGGATACTTTGACACTGGAAAGACAGAAAAGATTGCCACACAAAAAGAGGACAAAAAATTTCATTAACACTTCACAAGTGACAACTGTTGAGTTCAACAAGGGGCAGTGCTTGCAGTGACTGTGCTGGTCTACTTCAACTAAAGAGACTGAATTCCTTATTAACACATCAATTGAAAAAAGGTAGTTTGCAAAACCATTTGTTTGTAATATTTTTTATTAATCTGAAGTAATAAAATAACTTTTTTTAAAGATCTAGGGTGGTCCCAAATAGTTTCTAATTCTCTCTCTCATAATAATAGTTACTTCATAACTATTAGCATTTGTTTTATTAATGCACTACTTGATAGAAAAATTCAATTCCTTTCCTAAGTGTGAAATAACAAATAGGAATGCCCAGCCTACATGTGATCTGTAAAATTCAACAGAAATGCGATGTGTATAGGTTAAGCCCGAGGTCAAACATATCAGCAGAAACAAAGTCGGAAGTTCATAGATGAGGTGAACTCTTATTAACCAGCATGACATTGACATATTTTGTAAAACTACAGGTAAAGATTGCTTGCTGTGTAATAATGTATCCTAATAACTCTCAGTGGGAACATCAGCTTGCAGAAAGGAAGTGATGAGAAAGTGAACAGTTACAAATTATTAGAAAGATAGTATTCACTAAACAGTTATAAGAAATTCATAGATGATACATCTTATTGACAAGCGAGGGTGCATTTATCTCTCACATCTAATGCAATGTTAGAATTGCAAAGGTACTGAGAACTGTAAGATGTAACTGCAGTGAAAATAAAATTTAAGGTAAAGTAAAAAAAGCAGATATAAAAAAAAGTGTCTTTTGTCAGACCTAAATATACTGAAGTCCATATTGGTCAAGTCAGTATAAATTATAATACAAAATTCAAGTTGGACATTTGATAAATATGCTATATTTTGGAAAAGTGAAGATGGGTTTTGTAAAGGAAAATATTCCTCTGTAGAACTACTGAAGCACTTTTTCTCATTCAACAGATACATGAATGTGAGTGATTTGGTTGCCTGGAGTTGCTCAGTAGGAGTCTACCTTGGATTTGCAGAAGGTTTTTCTTAGAGTTTCTCAACAAAGGCTATTATAAAAAGTAAGCAGGTAAGAAGGCAGACATTTATAACTGAGACTTTAAAAGCAAAGTAGTAGAGAGGAAAGATCCAGTTCCTGAAATTGTGAGACATTGCTGCTGGACTTTTTCAAAGAGTTTTTCTAGGGCCTGTACTGTTCAACATTCATAAATAATCCAGGAAGAGGGATGAGGGCTGTTGAAAAATGTCCCTGATTGGAGTTATTTGGGTTAGCCAGGACAAGGACAGACAGTGTAGAATTCCAGAAATTCTGTACTCGCAAGCCTGAGTGACAAGCAAAACAATGGCAGAATAAATGCCCTGCAAATAAATGTAAAACTACACAAGAGAGGGTGAGGGAAGGTGGGAATTTTAGCATAGTGGGCCTAGAGTTGACAGTCACCATGGAGAAATAAGCCCACAGTTCCATAACCATTCATTCTTAGTATTCAGTAAGAAACTAAGAAGGAAAAGCTGAAGGAATGATTTTGAAATAGTATAAACCTAAGAATGTCTCACACTTAAAAAATGATGGATAGCATGCAAAACCCAAAATAGGGCAAGAAAGATGAACAGCTTCTACACAATGTAGGATACTTCTCTTGAGGAGGCCATTTCCAAAGAAGGATATAGGTGAGGCTGACAAATCACTGGTGGCATAAAGGGAATGGATTGACTACAGGTCAATCAAATCCAATACAAGGTAGATTCAAATTAAGATAGAAGAAATCACATTCAAAACAACAATAACAAAAAGTTCTTTATGCACAAAATGAACAGGGTAGTAAACCCATACAACTCATACATGTTCTAAGACTTGAACAGGTTTGTGGGAGTAGATACAGGGACCCAAAATACAACAAAATTTTGATCTTTAGAAACCACATACATCTGATGAAATTTCATCAGCTAAAACTACTGGAGGCTGGGGAATCTACTTCTAGTTCTTAGCCTTCCCTGGGCATATATTTATCATCACTGCCTAGAGATAGGATGCTGTCCAGACAATTCTTACCCTAATCCAATATAGGCATTCTTCTTTTGCTATGTTTCCACATGTCATTACTTTTAGGCAGCTGGCTGAAGCGGCCATGGATGCCTCTGAGGCACCTAATCCTGTTGATGTGTGATACATCTAAAATACTTACTTCTCAGTTGTGGATTACTCTTGGAGGGCAGAAGGGAAGAAGAATCATAAAACCTAAGTGCTATAGGACTTCACTTATAAACTCTGGCATCTTTTATTGGATACTGTCTGAAATGTCAGAAATTTTTCATGCTTTTAGGATAGTTCAATGAGTTTTATGCATTATCATGTCCATGAAGTAGCTTGCTTCAAATGCCAGTATCTTATAGGTGAATCAGTAGACAAGTGCAAAAATGGAATCTCACTGAAAAGTTAACAAGTCTCCCAAGGATAATTGCCCTTTGCCATTGAAAAATATCTCCTGGCAACAATTGGAATACCAATGAGATTAAACGTAACTTCCTCTAAAGCTTTTCAAATGAAACAACATGGCTTTATCATAGCACTAAGCAGTAACACTTCATTTAATATGTGCATTAATTATTGCTGAATTATAATGGATTGTCTAAAAAGTTGTATAATATTCACATTAATACTAAATTAATTCATTATGATGAGTGTAATTACAATGAATACTAACTAAATTAATGGCAGCTAGACATGCTAGAAAAAGTGTTAGCCATTTACTTGACATGTTCCAAATGGAATATATTTTGTTAATGTATTTAGAAGAGTAGTGTGAATAGTTTGAATAGTAGTGTGAAGCAGAGTGCTTAGCAGAGATTTTTTTTTTTAGTATCATTGAACAAATTATTTTACTGCATGTTAGGGTTCTATGTACATATATCTAATGCAATCTGAATGCATTATCTGAATCAAATAAAAATAGCAAATCATCAAATCAGTCTTATGCTTCTGATCGTATTTAGTTTCACTTCTACACATATATGAATAAAATCCTAGATGCATGGTCAGAAAATCAAGAAGTCAGGAAACAGACTGTATATGCTGCTGTGCCCCAGTTTTGCACTCCAGTATTCATTCTGGTCTGCACTCTACAGATCAACCATGTTCCAGGAAAAGCCTGATGTCAGGTGGTATGTTTAGCATGCTTCTGCATTTATATTTCTTGACCCGTTGGCCTAAGCCTTACATAAACTATTCTTGCCGATGGCAAAAGAAATCTGGCTTGGGAATTGTATCTGTAGCCACATGCCAGATGTCTCACAGGCTCTCACAGAGTATTAATTGTTCACCAGTCTTCAAGGAAGAAGTCAGTTTTATCCACAAGATAAAAAATTAGTAGATTTAGAAAAATAAAATGCGATGCCTAATGCAACAGGGAAACAAAAAGTTACTTACAATGCTCTTTTCAATCAATGGAATGCAGTTTTGCTGCCATCTGTGAAAGCAAACAAAGCAAAAAAATATTATTTGACATAGGTCACAGAATTATAAAAAATTTTAGTACAAGTAAAGAGAGCATAATTAGATGTTATAGTACTAATAGGCAACTAAAATATTATCATACTTATTCTTCCTCTACTTTAATTCAATACTTTGATTCAAAGGCAAAATCATTGACTGGATTCATTCTTTTGCACTAACATATCCAATACAGCATAAACTGTAAAACACATTCATTGCTTTGTCCAAAGAAAAGAAAAATCAGTGGATTAGTAGGGCAAACAAGAATTGAAAATGCTGCCAAACACTTGACAAAACATCAAAACACAGCTTGATTCTTTGTTCACACAACAGAAGATACAAAGAAAAAAGTATCATCCTTTAACTTTTCTTGTATTGTATTTCAGAGGAAGATGAACTGTAGCCTCCCGGCAATCGCTAATGCAGTGTTTGTCTTCTGTGTTGAGATTATCCACTTGGGTGCTGCACTGGAGCTCCCTGGGCTATTTTGACACTGCATCCAGATGCTCCAATTTTGCTTCAGTGACTCAAGTGCAGAGCCAATATGCCTTAAAGCAACGTTCAAAGGGTTAGGTCTTGATGAACAATTAAAGCACTCAGAAGTGTTTCTGAGCATCTCTGACTGGTGCTCAAGTGACTTAAGTGGCCCTTGTGTGACATCCTGGTAGGGAATACGTAATAGACAGTCTCAGTTCTACACTCAAGGTGAATGTGGATTCTGCCCCACTTTTATTGGAAAAAGAAAAGGAGTGCAAGTAGAAAAGAATAATATTCATGATTTTAACAGCAGTAGATCAGTTCTAGAAAGGGTAACTATCTGTCTGCTTTATATAAACTGCTTTAAAAGGCCTTGTTAGAAATATTTTATTAAAGTTGCATTTTTCATATATTCCCACTTTCTTGTTTGAGACCAAAAGAATTTATGTTTGAGTGAGACTTTTTTAAGTGAACATGCACTTCTCTTGAATCTAAGCATGATTTCACAGAAAATAAAGATCTATTTACTTCAACATACTTCAGTAGTCCATAAATGAAAAGCTAACTCAAGCACTGAGTGTTATTATTCCAACTGTTTCATATTTATGGGATTGGAAGCTCATTTAGGAAAATACTCATTTAATTGGAGAATAACTCATTTAATAAATGCCACAAAACCAGACAAATACATAAGGCTCCATCACATCCAAATCATGGACTCTGAAGCAAAAAAGTAAAGGCACATGATCAACTAATGCTAAGACCAGTAATACATTTTTTAAAATTTCTTACTTATGAAGAACAAATAATTATAATTTCATATGTGCTTAATGTATTTTTTGTGAAAACTGCATACTTAAGCTATTTTATTTATTATTTCATATTTTCATTTTTCATTCTTGAGATTTTCCTTGGTATTGAGAAAAATAAGCCAGGGAATGTTCCCATGTTTGCAAGAGTTTCACTTTGGGGTTTGTTTAGGGTTTTGAATTGGGTTTGTTTTGTTCTTGTTGGTTTTTTTGTTTGGGGTTTTTTTTTTTTTGGTTGTTTGTTGGTTTTTTTTTTTTTATGTTCCTGAGTATCAATTTTGGTTTTCTGACATGAGATGAAGTAAGAAAACAATTTCAGGTGGCAATTGTTATTGAAGAAAGTTTTATCCGAACAATGCCAGTGCAATATTTAGGTTGGAAGAGAGACTTGATACAGAATACAAACTGTGCTCCAGGTGGGAGTTAACTGCAGGAAATCTTGAGACACAAGGCTGAGGGATGCCCTGAAAGAAATTTTGTGCGGGTGAAAAAAACAAAAAAAGAAAAAAAAAATCACTGAAAAAAATCACTTTATGATCTCTCCAGCGCCTTCTCCTCCTTTGTTTCTGTTAACTTTGCATCTGGTTGCAGCTGCCATGAGCTCACCCACTGTGCTGACTGGGCAGGACAGAAGAAACACACCTGGGTTTGCGTGCCCTGCTGATCTCACAGTCAGGTTACTGGTTTCATCAAACCCTGCATGCAGTGCAGAAGTTGGCCATGTACTAAAGCTCCATACTTGCGTCTGCTTTATATGAATGGAGAATCACTTTAAAGATTTGTATCTTGAATGCTTGTTTTGAAAACTGCTAAATTCATTTTGTCTTATTTTGTGAAATCCATAAAGTAAGAGAAGATTCTCAGACACGAAACAGAACACACAGAGAAATTATTATCAAAATTCTTACCATTTTTAATACACAGTTTAAATCTAAGAATGTGCAGGTCAGAGGAAAGAAATAAAGACTGACTATATTTTATGATTGTTTTTACTTCTGTTGTTCAGAAATAATTTTCAGTCTTAAAAATAACATATTGGCTGAAATACCACAACTTGTCCATAATGGAAACTAGGTTTACTTTTATGGACTAAGAAGGTCCAGCATTATCAAGAAAGACAGATGATTAATTAAAAATAGAATTCAGAATGTTCTATTAGCAATAGCTTTTGCTTGAACATTGCACTATATCTCTTTGCAAAAAGGTTAAGAAGCAACAAAGTAAAAGTTAACAAATACACCTGACTCTTCCAGAAACAATGTTGATATCTTTGGGTATTCTGGTTAGAAGTCTTCCAGAAATATGCATTATTTTGGGAGAAATGACACATATGAGCAACTCTGAGTTCAAGCACTTTTCCTATCAGCATTTAATAAAAAAGCACAAGCAACATAAATCTATCAGATATTTCAGAACTGTCTCCTCATTTAAATTGAGGGCATCAGGGCTGCCTAAACACCTACTACGGCATAACCACCTTCTTAATGTACAGAGAATATTCCCTTCCCCCATGAAATGCACGGTGGATCTCTGTGAATACGTGTAATCAAAAAAGGAATGGATTTTGTTTTCCTGGGTAAACTTCTGAAAGGGAGAGCTGAAGAAAACTAGGCACAAAGGTTTAGGGAACTAGACTTGGTTATTCAGCTTGTGTCTTGATCATTCTAGTGTATATCTCTAGGAAAAGAAAGGACACTGTGCTCTTGACAATTACTCCACTGATATAAAGTAAAAGCTTGGGAAATCAAGATTAACACCAAGCGTTCTTTCTAGACAAGGAACTGCATGTTACCATTTTTGTCCTTTCTTACAGTTCTAAAGGAAGGGAAAATCATTCACTAAATTAAGACTTGGGAACTCTGGATTTCACAACTGGTACCAAGGAACCTTCTGTATGACTCTGTGAAGATTTGCAATATTTGACTTCCTATTCTGTATCTGTACACTACTACTAAGACATTTTCCTGCAAAAGATCAACAACTGACCTTTGCAGGTAAGAATTTTCTAGCTTGATTTTTCCCCATTAAAAAAAAAAAAAAAAAAAAGCAAAAAACCCTATACTTTTTTTCCGGCTTTTCCTCACATCCATTGGCACTGTAAAAGGTAGAGAAAAATGACTCATTTCATAAATGGTCAATGTTTCTTTCATATTGATCCTTGTGTCTGAATTGAAACAAGCACTTGTGGCCAGCAAGTTCTACTACTCCTTCTTAATAGAGGCATGCTAGTTCAGCTCAGTACAGGTTCTTGAATTGGGAAGTGTTAGGACACATGGAAGTATATGAGAGAGGGCTTTAAGTATTATGTAAATTGTTTTCAGTAAGGATTTTTTACAAAAAGGGTATTGAAAAAAAACCAGTCATCTTCCCCCTCCTCTACAATGCCCCTACACTTCAACTAAAATTATGCTTTTAGGGACAAAGAAAACCATACTTTGATTTCATTTGGAACTGACAGAAATAGTCAGGAAATATTTAGAAACAAAAAAATGTGGGGAAGAACTATCCTTCTGCATTCCCAAAAGTAGCATTTTTCTCCAGTCATTAATTTGTGTACTTGCCAGAGACATAGGTAACTCTTCAGAAGCTATTTAAACACAAAACTAAAGAACTGGAAATGAAAGATTAGGTTTCCACACTCTTTGTAAATCATTCATGGAAGTAAAGAGAATCCCCCCTCTCTTCACTTATTCAATAGCTCTGTGGTTAGGGCCTCATCTGATATACAATGTGGGACAATCAGGTTCAAGACCTTGTCTGCACATTCTTGAACCCACATTTTCACTTTCCCAAAAGAGTTCTTAAACCAGTGAGAAATCTATAATTGGCTTCTCTCGATCCCCATGGAAAAAGCTGTTCTGCATGGATTATTTAAATACTGAGTCAAAGAGAGCGAATGACTCTTTGGTCTGGTGGTTAAAGAATTCACTTGGGAGGCACACGGCCCAGTCAAAGTAGCAGTTCAGATAGTTCAGGTGAGAGCATACCCCTGCAGAATATCCAGTGGTTAGGTGATTCCCTTGGAAGGCAGAAAATAAAGGTTTAAATCTCAGTCAGGGGGAAGGGCTTAAAACCTAGTCTCCTATATATAGGAGTTATTGCATTAAAAAACATATGGTGAGATCTTCAACTTCGCGGGGGTAGAGGTGAGTGGGTGGAGACGGAAGATGAAGAGAAACAGTTGTTATCTCTTCACTAGTTTTGTGAATCTATTCCTGTTCCAGAACCAAAAAATAAAGTCATCACAAATTCAGTCTGAATTTTGACAGCTTTTTAAATTGCTAGCAATCAATTTATTCACTAGAGCTATATTCAGATAGTTAATGCAAAACATTGTCTTCCAGGCAGGCTCTGATTAGACTCCCAATTAAAGACTAAATTAAATTTTTTTGCATGTATGAAGCTGCCCTATACATATAGTGTACACATACAGAGTAATCCTTGTGGAGTTAAGAGTAATTGCCATTTAAGAACTATTCTAAGAATTACATTCTAAAATTCTATGGGATGAGACAGAAATATTATAGTAGGAGCTCACTTAACATTTCAAATTGTTCAGAGTATATTCATCATACTTTTAATAAAAAAAGCAATGATTATGCTCTTATATTTTTTTTTCCTGGAGATCATATCTTGACACAAAAGAATTCAGTTTAGTTTATAGTTTATCTGGAACTAGTATTTTCCT